ACTTGCTCTCTGCTTTTGCAGCCGAAACGAATGGCTGCTTATTGCCGCTGCACCATCGGCCAGATTCAAGAGAGAGACCAGAATCGGTGAAGACGAGGGCAGGTTTTTGTGGTGCAGCCCGAGGGAGGCTCGCAAAGGCAGCGTGCCCTGCGCCGCGGGCAGGGGACGCCAAGTGTAAAAGCGGGGAAATTTCCCTCTCGAAGTTTTGCTGCCACTTCAGCCACAAGGATGCTCGGGGAAACCCATCCAGATCTCTGCCTTCTGCCCCGTCTCCCTGCTGCCAGACCCCCTTGGCCGCACTCAGCCCTTCTCCTGCAGCTGAATTTATTTTCCCCTCATGATCCCCATGCAGGGCAGCATTCTCCCTGCCGGAGAGTGCCGGGACAAGCCGGCTCCTCCACCCGCCGCTGCTCGGGGCCGTGCCCGCACCCGCGGAGCCCCCGCACCCGCGGAGCCCCCGCACCCGCGGAGCCGGCGGCGCGCCCCGGCCCCCGGCACATAAATCAGCATTAAACCCATTCCCCCCTCTGATCCCCGGTGCCACCGAGCCCCCGCACCCGCGGAGCTGCTCGCGTTGCTCCCGCGGCGGCGCGCCCCGGCCCCCGGCACATAAATCAGCATTAAACCCATTCCCCCCTCTGATCCCCGGTGCCACCATCTATTACTCCCCCAGTGCGTTTTCTATCACCTTTTGTTAGAATTACACAGCCGGAAACTTAATTTACCCCGAGCTTTAAAGACAAATAAACCCCGCAGGCCGGTGGCCCAGCGATATGCCTGTTTACTCGCGCGATCCGTAGATTATTATGAATTGTTGTGATTTTCAAGCTGCTGGTGGCTTAAATACCTTCTCGGCTACTTTTCCTGGCTGGGGAAAAAAAAAAAAATAAAAAAAATCCACCCACTCTTCCCGCGCAAGGGCCAAGGAGCCGGAGACCATCTCACTTGCGCTGGGATTTATTTACTTTTGCTATTATTGTTATTATTATTATTATTGAAATTTGGAGCGAGCAAGGTTTTCAATTGCTGAAATAATTGCTTGGGAGAAAGGTTGCTTAATCTGTTCATACATTATTGACTCGGGCTCCAATATTTGGCTTGCTGCTTTTTATCGCAAGAAGATCACGTACGAGAGTCTTTTGCATAACAATTTTTAAAGAGGACACATCCTTATATCAAAAGTGGACGTGACTTGAATTTTGCCTGCGTTTGTCCCTAAAATGACCCAATTCCGGTTACTGCCACTGGGCAGCAGTAACATCATTTCTCCAGGCAATAGACTTATTCTGCTTTACTCTCTGCCCCTTTCCGTGTCCCCCACCCCCAAGCCAACACGTACTTTTAAAGCTGATTATTTTGTCTCGCTGCATTTTAGCACTACACACACTGTTTTCTCTCCCTGGGAACGGATGAGCAGAGAGGAGCAAGCCCAGCTCGTAGGAGCCACACGGATAATTAAAGCCGAAAGTTCCCAGGCAAGGCAGAAATAGTGCCTTCAACGAAATTTTGCTGTGAGCCGCCGCAGAGAGAGCCCAGCGCCGGTGTCAGCGCCTCCAACCACCTCCTCGAGCATCATTTCCCCGATGAGGATGAAAAGAGCCCCCCTCTCCTCTGCTTTTTCCAATCGAAATGGTGCTGCTTCCCAGCCACACTGGTCAAGTTAGTTCCGGAACAAAGGATGACAAAAACACAAAGGATTCTCTTTCCCCCCCACCTCCCCTTTCTCCCCTTCTCAACTTCCCCGGTGCCTGCACACCGGCCCGGGCCAGGCCGGGACCCTCCCACCGCTGTCGCCTCCAGGGTCCGGGCCCGTCTCGGCCCCGGGGGTGCGAAGTGACACAAGGGGGAGCGAAATATTGTGGAGAGGGGCACGGGGCTCGGTTCCTCCTCCAGGCACTGACGGGGAGAGAGCCCTGAGCTGCCTGCCCACCGGAAGGGGAGAATTGGTGACATTCACGTCTCCCCACACCAGTGCTGCCGTTTGGACCTCGGGGTAAAAAAACCCCTAAAGAACACCAGGTCTTTGCAGAAGAGCCCCAGCTGTCCCTGCAGGCAGGCGCTTGGGGAGGGCTGTGCACCTGAGAGCCGAGGAGAGGACTCCGTGCGGGACCATTCCTCCGCTCCAAGAGTTGGGCAAACTTTCCAGGGCGGCGAGCCCCTTGCTCCCGGGCAGGGGACGGGCGCGGGGCTGGCAGGAGGAGCCCCTCGGGCAGAAGGGGAAGCCGGGGAGTAGTGGCGGAGGGAGGTGGTGCCCGTGTGCGATCTCTGAGCTGCCAGCCACAGCCATTTGCACACGCGTGTGTGCGAGGCAATATTCCCCCGCACGCCCGCTGCACACGCGTTCAGCCGCACAGATGCACCCGCAAGCCCACTGCGGGCAAATACAGAGCGGGCACAAGGGTGGCAGGCACGGCGGGGCTGCGCGGAGCTGGACGCGACAGCCCCTGCCCCTACAGCCATGGCAGGGCGGCGTGGGCGCCAGTCCCGCGTGTGCCCCTTTGTCACCCAAATCTCCCCAATTCCGAGGGGGGAAAAGCTTTGCTGCAGAAAGAGGCAGCCCTGCGCCCACTAGAGCTGGGAAAAGCCTCGGGGGTGTCGTTCCCGAGGCCCCCTGAGTCGGGCGAGGACACCCCCTCCGCCCGCGGAGCCCCGCGGAGCCGCCCCGGCCCGGCCCCGGCCCCGCCGCCTCCCGCGGGTCGGGCGGCGAAAGTTTCCCCCTCTCCTCCCTGGGCTCCACGGCTCCCGGAGCCCAGAGAGAAGCAGGGCGAGACATAGGTGGGAAGAGCTGGAGGAAATTGAAAACATATTTTAAAATGTAAGCGGGTCGGAGCCAGCCCGACCGGGTGTGCCGGTGACTGCGAGCACGGCGGGACCGGCACCGGCACCGGGACCGGCCCGGCACAGCAGCGGCGGGTGCGGACCCCAAACCCTCCACGGAACTTTCAGCCCCTGTGGGTAACGTCTCTAGCGAAGGGACAGGGGTATCTGTCCCGAAGCGGAGTGAGGCAGCGCTCAGAAACATCCACAGTAACTTAAAGCAGATTGTCGGGGCGCTGCGGGGCCGGAGGCAGCGCCGGAGCTGCGCGCCGGGCCGGGGGATGCGGCTGCCCTGCCCGGATCCTCCCCGGCCGGCCGGCGAGGAGCACCGCCGGGAGCCGGGACTTCTTCAGACAGCCGATCCAGGTGACTTGTGCAGCTCGCAGAGAGGTAGGGTGGGCTGCAGATGTGGGTGGGAGGCGGGAGGGGGCTTGGGAAGCAAATGGGAAGGGGTTTGCAGCCAGGCCACTGGGAAGCAGCGAGTTTTCTTTTTTCTTTTCTTTTCTTTTCTTTTCTTTTCTTTTCTTTTCTTTTTCTCTTTTCTTGTTTTCCTTTTTTCTTTTTTTAATTTTCTTTCCTCTTTTTTCCTTTTTCTTTTCTTTTTTTTCTTTACTCTTTTTCTTTTCTTTTCTATTTCTTTCTTTGTCCTTTTAATTTTCTTTTCTTTCATATTCTTTTCTCTTCCCTTTCCTCCTCTTTTCTTCCTTTCTCTTATTTTCTTTTTTCTCTTCTCTTATTTTCTTTCTTTTCCCTGTTATTTTATCTTTTCTCCTTTTGTTTCCTTTCCTTTTCTACTCTCTTTCTTATTTACTTCATTTTCCTTCTATTTTTCTAGTTTTTTGTGCACCTTCTTAATTTCTTCTACATTTTCAGGCTTTTCTTTTCTTTTCTTTTCTTTTCTTTTCTTTTCTTTTCTTTTCTTTCTTTTTCATTTTATGTTACTTTCTTTTTCTTCCTTTCTTTTTCTGTATTTTTGTTTGATTTTCTCCCTTTTCCTGATAAATTTTTCTTTATTTTTCTTTTTCTTTTCACTTTCATTTCCTCTTTTTCTTTCCTCTTTTGTCTCATCATTTAATTATTTTCTTTATTTCCTTTTTTTGTTTTCTTGTAGGAAAAGAAACAAACCAATAATATCGCTAAGAATAAGAAAGATAGTTTTCTCTTCTCCCCTCAGAAACTTCTTCTGGGTGTTTTCGCCTCCATCCCACTTGAGAAGGGAGGACAGACGTTGAAATAAATAAAATTAAATTTTTACTACATCTCCCCGTGACTCGAGAGCCGGGCAGCATTGCTGGGGTGGGGGTGGTCCTGGATGGTAATTGATTCATAACTCTGCACCAGGACACCAGGGCTCAACATCCGCGGCTCCCCGGGAGCATCTCGGGGGAGCGGGGCGGCCGCGCTGCCCGCCCGGGCCGGGGCGCGGGGCTGCAGCTCCGGCCGGCCGCGCCGAGCTCCCCCAGCCCGGCCCTCCTCCGCACAAAAAACATCCCTTCCTCTCTCCCCGCTCCCCGCCTTGCTACCAGGAGAGATTTGGACTCCCGGAGACATCAACCTGCGCCCCGAAAAAAGTTTCGAGCGGAGCTGCCTCCAATACCTATTTACCAACGAATTACACCGCTATTATTGCTTTCAATGAAGACTGAATCCCCAAGCGATAATTGAATTAGTCTATTGAAGAGACTGTCAGGTACAATGACGTGGTATATCCCGCGCCTTTCCCAGGGTCTATAGGCTTTGGGGACCCGGAATGTATAGTCTGACCTTACAGCTCATAATAATAATGCTGCACTTGTAGCAGAAATCTATTCGTATTCACTTTTAACAAAACCTCTGGTCAGCCAGTCCCTGTAGGAAGGATGAAATCTATTGTATTAGAACAACTCATTTATGTCCTTCAGCAAAGGCCCCAATGAGATCTGATCTAGACGTAGAAATAGGATTACCACAGCGTATATTAACCACGTTTCTATACTTCCTCCTTCCTATAAGGGCGCCGAGAAAACAAAAAATGCAAAGGATTTTTGATCTGAATTTAACTTTATTTTTATTTTCAATTTTAAAACTCCCTTCCTTTGGCGGCCTCCCTAAAAAAAAAAGAAAAAGAGAAGAAAAGAAAAAAATAAAAGAAAAAAAAAAAGAAAAAAATAAAATAAATAATAAAAAAAAGCAAACACAACGAAATGGGAGAAATTATTCCTCCCGGTTTCCGAAGAGACTGCGGGCTGGCATGGTGCGCGGGAGCAGCGCGGCACCTCCGCACAGCCCGACGGCGGGCACCGGGCGTCCCGGGCCGGCTCCCGGCCCCGCCACCCTCGGCTGCACTCCGCCTCCCGGCACGGATCCGCTCCCGCCCCGCGCCGGGACGGCTGACCCCAGCCCCAGCGCCGGGAACACCAACCTGCGGGAGACTCAGGCACTTCCGAGGGGCGGCGGAGCGGCAGCGCGGCCCCGGGCCCGCAGCACGGCCCGGGGAGCCCTCGGAGCCCTCGGAGCCCTCGGAGCCCCGGCCCCTCCGCAGGAGCCGGCGGCACCCCCGCGACGGCAGCGGGAACGGGGCTCCGCCGGACCGGGCCCCCCGACGGGCGCCCCGAAAGCCAGCGGCACCCACAAGTTACAGAGGGAACTTTTTCCTAAAAAGGGATTTTTTTTTAAAGCTGCCGTCCTTAAGCCACCGTGTGTAGACATATCACCCCGATTACTGTAACTACCTGCGAGCCGGGGAGTAATATTTATCTATTTATGGAAAAAATATCCAGCCTGGAAATATACATCGTCTTTTCCTTTAACCCCTCCTCATTCATCCAGCCGATCCCCCACCCCCTCCGTACACAAACCTACTCAATTTATAGAGAAGCCTTTACAATCCAGAACAGTTTCTAGAAGAAGGGAGGACTCCAGATGAAATAATCCCCCTCCCTACACGCACTTGTACATACACACACACACATACACACACACACACATGCACATAGACAAACTTCCCCCCCGGGCGTGCTCATGAAGGCAAATTAAATAGTTAAAGGCTTCGATTTCTCTCTCTCTCCCTTTTGTTACCCAATTTTGGAACATTTAAGGATGGGTGTGTGTATTGTATTCAATAATAAAAGCTATAGGGCCGCCAGGACATTTATCATCCTATTACTGTAACAAATCCGGGCTCCCAATACATGAAAGGTAAAATGAATTACCGACGTTAAGCCGTCAATAAAGTCATTTCTGTAAATGGTGTCTCCGAAGGACTGCAGCATTATTCAACTAGCTTTATCAGCAGCTGGGAAATTACGTGAAGAAGCTCGCAGCGTGTAATATGGCCCTGCTTACTTTGATTAAGCGTCTTGCCAGGGAATAGTGACAGTGCTTTTGACCAGGTTTTATTCGCCGTCCTGTGATGAACGCCAAGCTGATCAGGCGGAATGAAGAGTAATTAAAACCTATAAATTATCTTTTGCAGCCCTTCTCAAGGCGTCTCTTGCAGGAGAGATAAGGCAGCGAGCCCCCATTTACAGCTCTGAAAGGGACCGCGGCTCACAAAGGCTACGTGGCTAAATGGGATATTGATAGTGTCCTAATTAGAATTTAATTAAGTACCCACGCTCGCTTTTGGGATAAAGATTTCAATTTTGCTAACTTAAATATAAATAAACCCAATTTCGGTGCGAGTAAATGATATGATATTGTGAATGCAGGGGGGGTTTAACATTCATTTAATTGCGGATGAAGCTCTTGATTCCAGGGCTGATTGTGTTCTGCCAGCTATTATTTTAGGGGATTATTGTGCGGCTGGAGGTAACAATTCGGTAATGTTTCTCCGGTACAGAAAATAACCGAACGTGCCTCGGAGGTGCGGGCACACACACGCCTCCCGGGCACCCGGGGATGTCTCCTTCGATTCCCGGTGCCGGTCGCCTCCTGAAAGCGGAGCCACGGGCCGGGCCCTTTCCCGGGGCTGCTCCCGGGGAGGGAAGGGCACCGGGCCGGTGCAGCACGGCGGGGCGAGGCGGAGGAGCCTGGCTGCTGCCGCCGGGATGCGGGCACGCACACAGACAGAGCTGTAGGTGCATATCCGAGCACATACAGCATAGACAGGCGGCGGCACGTGATGCGGCCCGGCCCCGCGGAGCGGCGCGGAGCGATGCGCGGGGCCCCGCGGCCCCTCCGCACCCACCGGGGAGGGGGCAAACGGGGGGGTTCGGTTACGTCAGAACGGGAAAACGCCCGGAATTGCCCTTCCCGCAGCTCCGGGGCTCGGCCGCGGGCGGGAGAGCGGCTCCGGCCGGAGCAGGTGCCTGCGGCCGGCGGGGAAGCCCAGCCCGCCCCGAGCTCCTCGGCTGTGTAAAATGTGGGGTGTCGGGGGACCCCCATCTCCAGTGCTCCTCCGCGGGAGCACCAGCACTGCCCTTACCCGCAGGGACTGGGCTCCCGGGAGCGCCCGGGGCCGGGGCAGCAGAGCCCGGTGCGGCGGAGCCCTCAGCGGCGGCCCCAGCAGTCCTGCAAAAACAGAACTGGGACCGCGGCAGTTTTGTTCATTTTCTGTAAATTCATTTTTAGACAGCCGCATCGATCCTGAAAAAGTGGGTTTTTCTTCCCATCCCTTAAAATCCTTAAATTTTCCGTCTGCCTCAACACGCGTCCCGAAGTGCCCGTTCCCTGCCGGGCAGAAAAACCAAAACAAAACCAAACAAGTATACCAGGGAAAAAAAAAAAAGGCAACAAACCGAAACCAACCAAACAAACAAGCAAACATCAAAAAGCAGACGAGGAAACATTATACGAGTTCAGCTGTGAGCCGGATCTGCTGCCTATTGCGAAAAAAACCCCAAACCCAGTAAAGGAGCAAACCAGAGAGAGGCTTCGGCCGTAAGGCCAGCTCGTCCCGGCAGTGCCTCCTGCCTTTATTGCTATTTATTGCTGTTATTATTATTATTACTGTAATTTTTATTCCTCCAAACCAAAAAGGTTCGATTCCAGAGAGCCTCCACCCGGCTCGCCATCTCCCCGCGGGAGAACAGAAAGAAAAGAAAAGAAAAGAAAAGAAAAAAAAAAAAAAAAAAAAGGGGGGGGCAAGCGCGCAGATTTGGAAGATTTGGAAGAGGGGGTGTTTATTATCGCTGGGGCAACAGCAGAGCGGCCCATGACCCAATCCCCGCCACCCGCGGAGGACACGGCGTGGCTGGAAGTTGTTGTTTACGGGGCTGGCGGGGGGCCGGGGAGGAGGAGGAGGAGGAGGAGGAGTCAGCGGCGGCGGCGCCGCGCCATTGGCCGCCCCCACGTGCGGGGCCGCCTCACGTGCTTCCGGTGCGAGTGAAAAAAGTGTGGCTGAGGGATTTTTTAGGGAGAGTTTGGTGCACGGACCGGCGCTGTCAGAGATTTGGCTTTTTTTTTTTTTTTGGCTTTTTTTTTTTTTTTGGAAAAAAAAGGAGAAGGGGAGAAAAAAAAAAAAGAATTAAAAAAAGAAGCCTAAGCGGGCGCGGGCGGCGCAGCACCGGGCTGGCGGGGACGGGCTCCGGCAGCCCGCGGCGTGGGCAGAGCGGAGCGTGACAGCGGGGCAGCGCGGAGCCGCCGCGGCGGCGGCGGCAGGGAGATGGGCAGATCGTGACGGGTTTTCGGGGGGCGGGTTTTTTGGGGGGGCCGTGGTGCAGCCGCACACCTTTTTGGGTTTTTTTTTTTTGGTGTGTGTGTGCTTTTTTTTTTTTTTTTTTTTCTTTTGGTGGTGGAAATATAAGCTGATCGGGAGAAGGGGGAGAGAAGCCCTCCAGTATCTCCCAGGTTTTGGATCCATCCGTGAGAGAGAGAGAAAAAAATCTCAGCTCCAGCCCAACAAGTGGATTTTAATTTTTTCTTTTTTTTTTTTTCTTTTTTCTTTTTTTTTTTTAATTTTAATTTTTTCCTCCCCCTTTTCCACCCCGCCACCCACCGTCAAAGTGGGGTGGGCGTAAAGTGGGTGGGTGGGGGGGAAAAGAGGCAGCGATCTCCGTGGCGGGGACTGAGCATGGAAGAGCCGCCGGAGGGGCACGGCCACCGAGACGCGGCGCCCGGCCCGGCGAGCAGCGGCAGCGGCAGCGATGGCGAGAGCGTGCCCGTGTCCCCCAGCCCCGCGCCCGCCTCCCCCGCCGCGCCCTGCCCCCGGCGGCCAAGCCCCCCGCCGACGGGGGCGAGACTCACCCGGCGAAGTACGGGGAGCACGGCAGCCCCGCCATCCTCCTCATGGGCTCTAATAATGGAGGACCTGTTATAAAGCCCGACTCGCAACAGCCGCTGGTGTGGCCTGCCTGGGTCTACTGCACTAGGTATTCAGACAGACCGTCCTCGGGTAAGGAACCGCGGCGCATCTGGGAGCTGTTAAATCGTGACAAGGTCGCCCCCCCGCCCCCCTTCCCCTTTCCCTCTTCCCCCCTTGGCTTTGGCTCCCGGCTTGCTGAGGACCTCGCGTGGGGGGGGAGGGCGGCCTGGGTCACCCGGGGCGAGAGGAAACGCGTCCCCCCCCACCGCCACCACCCCTCCTTCCTCCTCCGAGTCTCCCAAATTTGAATGTGACGCCGGGCCCCGATTCGGCAGCGGTTCGATGCGGAGAGCCGGCGGGAGCGACCCCTTCCCGCGCCCCCGCCCGCCCCGCCTGCCGCAGCCCCGGGTGTTCCGCAGCGCGGGGCGAGAGCGTTGCGAGAAAAAGGCAGCGGGGTCGGCCGCTCCCTTGTGCTGAGGCTTTTCCTCCCCTTTCCTTATTTTATTTTATTTTATTTTTGTCCTGGGTGCTGCTGGAGGAGCGAGGGGGAGAAGACCCGAGGCACATGTTGAGCGGCTGCTGGCGGTGCGGGGGGAGGAGGTAGTGCTTTCTTGGAGGCGAAGGAAAAAGGGCTTTATCGAAGGTGGCGGAGAGGCTGTTTAGCCGGGCCTCTGCGGCGAGCCAGGCAGGCCCTTAGGCCGCGCATTGCCGCCCCAGCCGGTGCTCGCTGCTGCCGTTCGGGGCCCAGCTGCGGGGTGGGGATCTGCCTCTGCCCGAGGTATCGGCGCTCCCCGTGGGAGCCGCCGCCTCGGCCCTCCCGGCCCTGTTTTGCTGCCCCTTCTACATCTTTCCATTCCCCAGGTGCCCTCAGGCACCCCTTTATTTATCACCGTTACTTTTTGGGGTTTATTGCCATATTTTTTGAAAGAAGCCGAGGATGAGGAGATGGGGTTCCCCCATGACACCTCCAGCCAGCGCGGAGCGGGGCCGGGCTGGGCTCCCCTGTACCCGGGGCCGCTGCAGAGCGCGGGGAGGCGGCGCTGCCCGGCCCGGCCCCGCTCCGCACTGCCCGGCCTGGTGCTCCTCGCCGGCCGTCAGCGCGGCCGAGCCGTCTCCATCCCCCGTTATTGACACGTCCAGCGACTTCAAACTCAGAAAAGCCTCTTTGATTGACTGGGCTGATTGATGGGGTGATAGAGCTGTCAGACGGCACGGCCTCGCTCCCGGCCGGCCCGGCCGCGGGTGTTGTGTTGCCGATTCCCAGGGCCACCGAGCGCCCTGCACTTGCGCCTTCATTTCCCTTCCTCCCCTTTCTTCGGGCAGAGGATAATTTCTGCATGTCCTCCTCCCCGACGCTCCCTGCTCGCTGCAGCCCGGAGGGGAGAAGGGCGAGGGGAGGCTGGCTGAGCTCGGCCCCTCTCTTTGTTGTGCTCGTAGCTGCCCGCCGGCCCCGACTGCTTCTCTCGGCTCCGGGGACGAGCGGGCTGCGGCGGTCGGAGGCGCCGGCACCCCGCTGCAAGGTGCCGGGGCTCAGCAATTCACTCCCCACGCCCTCCACCCCCCGCCGGTCCAGCCCCGGAGAATCCCGCTGGGCCCCGTCCCTCTCCCCACCGGGCCTCGTCTCTGTCCCCGCCGACAGCCGCTGCCGAGCCGCGGGGAAATTCCCCCGTTCCGGGGAAGAGCTGCTTCGGGAGAGGAACTTTCGGCCTACTCGGCCGCGGGGAGGCCTCTCCGGCTTCGGCTCCGGCTGCTGCTGGCGGGGGGCTGCGGGCCTGGGACCGCCCGCCGAGCCCGGCAGCTGTCGGGGAATTTTTGTAGATCCCATTCTTCACGGTTCCCTCCCCGCTCCTCTTCCCCATGGCCGGGCCAGGCCGGCGGGCAGAGGACCGGGGCTACCCCTCCTCGGCGAGGCGCTGCCCTCAGGATGCGCCCGGGACCCGGTGGCTTTCCCGGCGAGCTGCGTTGCACTTGAGCTGGCCGCTCTGCGGCCTGGATGTGGAGCAGCGGGGCTCTGCTTCTGGCCGGGCTTCGCGGTGCAAGCTGCAAGCGGGGCCGTAGGTCCCCGGCAGGGATCGGCCGCCGGAGAGCCCAGGCGAGCCGGGCGGTGGCGGCGGAGAAGGGCCCCCCAGGACTGGGCTGGCTTTGCGGAGAGGGTCGTTTGTCCCCCGAAAGGAGACCAGGGCAGCCTTCTGCCAGTCTGCTGCTGGCGGCTCCCCGGTGCCTGGCAGTGGGGACCTTCGGTCCCCGCGCTGCCCGGCGGACTCGCTGCCCGGCGGGCAGGTCCCGGTCCCGGGCCGTGCAGGAGAGCGGCCGGGCCCTGCAGGGCGGGCGGAGCGGCGCCCCGACGTGTGCCGGGGCGAGCGGGGCGAGCGGCCCCGGCCTCCCCGTTCCTTCCCCATCCTTCCCTCCGCCGTGCCGGGGCGGCGGTGCCGGGCTTGGGGGGCTTGGGGGGACACACAGAACCAGCACAAATTCACCGTCGGCCATTTTTCCTCGGCCGGCGGGGCGGGGGAGCGGGCGGTCGGTCGGTCTGTCGGGCGGGCGGTCGGTCTGTCGGTCGGTCGGCGGCGCGGCCCTGCCCAGCGGCGTGTGTGTGCCCTGCCCGCAGGCCCCCGCACCAGGAAGCTGAAGAAGAAGAAGACGGAGAAGGAGGACAAGCGGCCGCGGACGGCGTTCACGGCCGAGCAGCTGCAGCGGCTGAAGGCGGAGTTCCAGGCGAACCGGTACATCACGGAGCAGCGGCGGCAGAGCCTGGCCCAGGAGCTCAGCCTCAACGAGTCCCAGATCAAGATCTGGTTCCAGAACAAACGGGCCAAAATCAAGAAGGCGACGGGCATTAAGAACGGGCTGGCGCTGCACCTCATGGCCCAGGGACTCTACAACCACTCCACCACCACGGTGCAGGACAAAGAGGAGAGCGAGTGAGGCGGGCGGCCCCAGCCCAGCCCTGCGCCGCGGCGCCGGCCCGCCGGCCGGGAGGCGGACAGGTGCGATTTAAAAGCAGATCTATTGTCTATCCATAGTATAAGGACTCCGATTAAGAAAAAAAAATTAAATATGAACACTTAAGAAAAATTATCTCTATATAGCCAAACAGCATATGACCTTGTATATATTTAATTTCAGGTAAGAAATATGTGTAGCGATCTCTATTTGCTGGACAGTTTCTCTCTTCCCTTCTCTCTTCCCTTCTCTCTGTTTCTCCTTTCTTTTGTTCGTTTGTTCGTTTTGTTTGCTTTCCTTTTTTTTTTTTCTTTCCCCCCCATGTCCGTTGCTTCTGTTTTACAGTAAATGTCGGACTTTTCTCATCTGTCGTTTGATCTTATTTTGTTGTTGTTTTTTTTTTTTTTGTGTGTGTGTGAATTTCTGTCTCTCTCTTTTTTTTTCCCGAAGAAAAAAAAAATTCTGATCCACAGACTGCGAGACTGAACCCGCCGCTACAAGCCAAAGATTTTATTATGTTCAGAAATCTGTAGTCTGAAATAAAGTGTAGACTGTGTTCAGGATCCAGGCTGGTTGTAATTCTTTATTTTAGTGTATGGATGTTTGCATATATATACATAAAAATATAATAAATAAATGTATATATACATACACCATACGCTGTGTACATAGTGCCATTTTAGTGGCATATTTAGGCTTTGCTTTCGATAGATGCAGCAATTTTTAAACTACTCATCCCTTGTTCAAAACCCTTAGACCTTCGATTTAAAAAAAAAAAAAAATTTAATTTTTCTACCCTTTAAAAACAATTAATTCTCTTTGGCAATTGCGGTCGTGCTTCACCTCCCGCATCTCCCTTTTTAACCAGAAATTAAAACCACCTCATAATAATGGTGATACAAATTCCCGCTGAAAATTTGCCTGAAATTGTCTGGATACTTAGGGCTCCGGGATGTATTGGAAAGATTTTGGTCTGACAGCTCCTTGCCCCTCTCCGAGAGGATCTGCTCCCACGCTGTTTGCAGCGAGGATCGGGCCGGAGCGATCGGCACCGGGCGCTGCTCCGCCGCTCCCGGGAGCGCTCCCGGCGCCGCTCCTGCCCTCCGCTCCCTCCCGGGGCCCGGGCTCGCATTTGCCGTGTGCGTGGGACGCTCGGGGTGGCGGGGGGCCGGCGGCACGGCGGAGCTCCCCTCCGCTTTTCCACTCGCCCCGGTTAAAGGCCGGCCGTGCCCAGTCCCGGCTCGGCTCTCGGCTCTCGACACGGGCGGGCCGGGGCCGGGCCGTGCCCACCGCCTTCTCCCCGAGCCGTCGGGGACCGCCGAGCCCACGCCGGCCTTGGTGGGGCCCCGCCGAGCCGGGGGCAGGCGACGGGATTATTCCCCTCCTCACTGACCCTGATGGAACCGGGCACCGAGGCGGGTGGAGAGCCGCCCGTCCCCCTCGACGAGGCTGGCTGTCGGCTTTCCTTCTCCTCTTTCTGCTCCTCTCTATCCCTGCCCTAGGCCCGCAGCCGGCGGGGCGAAGAGGACGAGCGAGCAGAGCTGGAGCCGGGGGACCCTTTCTGCTGCATCGCCCCGGAGCATGGGGCGATGCCGAGGCCATGCCCAGGTCAGTGGGACCGGGGGGCGGGAGGGGGCAAGCAGCAGCACTCTGGGTCGGTGTAGCCTGCAGCTCCCCCCTCCTCGTCCCGTCGGAGGCATTAGGGGTTTTCCGTCTATTTCAGAAGGGGAGCAGTGGGGATGATGGCTTCTGCCATTTTCGTGCTTTTTAACTTTTCCTGCTTAGAGCTGCGGTTTGCTGTCACCGTCCGGGGATGGGGGCGCAGGCTGGGGACAGAGCCCCCTGCCCTCCGTGCCCACTGCCGGTGGGGCAGGACAGGACCCCTCCTACACCCCATCCCACTCCAACCTACCCCAGCGTATCCCACCCCATCCCCGCCCAGCCCAGCCCGCCTCTGCCCGCTGAGGGCTCTTCTCTCTGCAGGCCGAGGAGCCGGGAATACTCAGAGGGCTTAAATAAATGTTGTACAGCGCCATCTAAAGTTGTGCATTTCTTTCTCTGTCTTTTTTTTTTTTTTTTTTTTTTTTTTTTTTTCCGGACGGGATTGGAACGTGAGCTCAAATCTTCCGCACTGAGGAAAATAAAGCCGTCCTTCAAAGTGCGAGTTCCTCCGCTCGCTGGGAAAGCGGTCGGCCAGAGCCCGGACCGGCGGGGCAGCTGCAGAGTTCGGGGGCCGCATTCAGACTCGCCCCGAGGGCCCCCCTCACTTGCCGCTGTCGGGGGGACACAGCGACATTGCTCCCCTACTCCCGCCCCCTCCAGTCTCAGTTCAGTCCTCTGCCTTTGCCATACACGCCGTCTCGCACTCCCCTGGAGCTGTACAGGCGAAAAATGGCATTTCTCCTTAGAAATCGAGTAACGATCAACCCCGAGAGCATTCCCGGGCCGGATCTGGCCCAGACCTGCCCAGGGTAGAGGGCACCGACCCGCCTCGCTTCCCCTGTCCGCGGGACACGGGTGATGCTCGGGCTGGCTCTCGGCGTGGGTCGAGCGGGGCTGTGGGCCCCTCCCGCTGTCCCCCCCGCCCTGCTGTCCCCGGGACCCCGGGACCTGCTGCCTACCTGCAGCCGGGAGCCGGCTCCGGGGTGCTGGGGTTACCCGAAGGCTTGGGGGTCTCCAGAGGAGGAGGAAGATGAAGAAGAGTTTCCTCAGCCGCGGGTTGTCCAACCAGACTCAGCTGAGCTGGACAAGTCAGGAATAAAGCCGACGAGGGAAATATAGGGCAGATTAAAGGAGGCCTAAAGAGGATTATTTAAACAAATCAGACTTTTTAATGTAATTACGCTTTTAGGATTTCTCGCTGAGAGCAGCTGAGCTGAGTGTGTTTGTGAATGGGTGCAGGCCGGCGAGGTCCAGGTCTGTCCTCGCTGGCTCCACGAGTGACCTTGGTCCCCTGTGGGTACCGAGGGCAAACAGGCCCCGGGGGAATGGGGGGGAAGACCTTCACCCGGGGCTCAGCACCAGCCCGAGCTGAGAAATAAGAGCAGAAGGCGAACATCCTCCCGTAGGGAAGGGACCAGCTGTGCCCGGGGAGGCGAGGGACACGCACGGGCCCCCCCGGCCGGGGAGGAATGCCGAGGGCTGGACGGACGGGTGGGACTGGGGAGCCCAAGTGCCAGGAAGAGCACTCGCTAGCCCAGGCGGAAAAGCCCTGGAGGCAAAGCGCTACCCTGCCCCTCCTTGCTGCGTGCCTCGGGTGTCTGTTCCCCCACACCCCGGCTCTCGGGAGGCAGCCGCGCCTTTGTGGGATGTGAATATCAGTCAACACCCTGCAGACAGCCCCCAGCACCCCCGTCCTCCCTCCGCTGGCGCAAGGACGCACCGACGCTTATTTCTCCGTCCAGGGCACCCCTTGAATCGGGGACAATCGTTCCAGGCCCCCGGCCCGACGACCACCCCCCGGGAGGGCGCGGCCCGGCGGCCTGCTGATTTGCATATGCAAATGAGGCACGGGGGAGGAGGGGAAGGCCACGCGTGGTCCCCCCCGTCGGTCCCCTCCGGCCGGGGCGCAGATCCCGCTGCCTCCTGTCACGGAACTTGTTCCTTTGTGCCGCCTTTCGAGGAATCAAAGCAGACACGGTTGTGACACGTAGCCCGGAGGGTCAGAGGTCAGATTTCACAATCCCAATTACAATGATTTCTAATGATGTTTATCTTGCGGGTTCCGACGGCTGGGAGCTTTACAAGAGAGCTTCGCTCCCCTCCCCTCCGCTTGGAGGGCCGTGGGTGCGGGGGGCTCTCGCCTCGCCTCCGGCCGGGGGCAGATGCGCTTCCCCCGGGCACGGAGCGCCGCGTCCCCCCCGCCGAAGGGCGCTGGGAGCCGGACGACGGTGCCGGGGGTAGGATGCCAAGGGTCCGGCCCCGGGCTCCCTCCGTGCTTCCCCGAGGTGGTCTAGGCCACGCCGGAATGAAGCGAGTGAACAGCACAGTGGTTTACAGTGAATTCTGCCAAGCACTCACCTCTCCCTCCCCGTCGGGTAAGGTCCGAGGCAGCGCTGGCAAAGTGACTGAGCGGAGGTAGGAGCTCTGCTCGTCGATCATGTGTCCGGAGTCGGTCGCGGCTGTGGGGGCTGTGGGGACCGGCCCTGCCCCGGTCACCCTCCCGCCCCTGAGCCTCTCAGCCGCGTCCGAAGCCGCCGGCGGAGTCCCGGGGGGGCGGCGGGCGGTCCCCGCGGGAGCTCCCTCCGCGCCCGGAGAGGGTCCTGGCAGCAGGGAGCACGGCCAGAACACCTCGCAGCCCCAGGGCCCGACTTCTTGTCGGCGAAACCAGTTCGATGTAACTTTTATTTTGTCTTACAAGAAATAAACGCAGAGCGGCGATCAGATCAAAACGCAACTCAAACGGTTTCCTTTTAAATCTAAAACCGTTTTGAAAAAGATTTGTCGAATGGCCAAGGGCTGAAACTTTGAGAAAAGGTAATAAATGTTGAGTAAAAAAAAAGAAATCTTAACTTTTCTTCTGTTGGGGAGTTGGACACGTAGCACCCGAGCCCCAGCCTCGGGCTGGCTGTTGACAGAAGCGCGCAAGGTGCATCTTTATGCTCTACATCAAATGCCTTTGACACAGACTTAAAAAAGTCTATGTAAAGCAGCTAATGGTGCTCGCTCTTCCGGCTGAGTAAGTCGGGGAACCAGATTTTGCTGGAAGTAGAAGCCCTTTGCCCTGAGAATTGATCTTTACTGCATCAGGTGAGCACCCTTACATTAAAAAGACTTTTCTTGTTTGTTTTTGGCCACTTGATCAGTTTGGAGATAACGAAGATGCGAATAAAAACTTTGGTAGCTGCGGGAGCAGCAGCAGAGCCGTCGGGGGTGTTGGGGAGGCAAGGGGCTGCGGAGCCCGGGGCGCTGCGGGCCGGGCCGGGCCGGGCCGGTGCCGGTGCCGGTGCCGGTGCCGGTGCCGGTGCCGGCGGTGCAGCCGTAGGGGCTCCGTGGGGTCGCGGGGACGGACACTGGGAGCAGCCCCGCTTTGCCCCCGCGTTTT